GTATTGGACAGCAGCGGCAGCAGCGTCAGCAGGAGACCCTCTCACCGCAGCAGCTTCGCGAGTGGGTTTCTCAGCGATGCATCCCTGGTAGTGCAGAGGCTACTAGTCTAGGTGCCAGTGAGCCTGGTAACACAGGTGCAGTTTCTGTAGAGGCTTTGCACACCTTCACGCTTGACTCAGGCGCGACTCGCTGCTTCTTCCGCGACTGCACCACAGTCACACCGCTCACTAGACCTGTCCCGGTCTCTCAGGCTGACCCCTCTGGGGGCCCAATTGTAGCACGTGCCTCCACAATTCTCCCGTGTCCGGCAGCCCCCTCAGGCTCCCTCACAGGTTTCCACCTCCCCTCGTTCTCTAAGAACTTGGTGAGTAACGCTGTCCTCCAGGACCAGTTTATCACTGTGACTACTCCTGGGGGTAAGCTTGTGGCGATCTGAACGGACTCACGCACTGGCGAGCACCTCGCCACGTTCACTCGGAGCCCTGGGTCTGGCCTGTACACACTGACCACTGAGCCTGCACAGGTAGCTGCGTCGAGTCAGGTAGCTGCGTCGGGTCAGGTAGCTGCGTCGGGTCAGTTAGCTGCGTCTTGTTCGTGCCGGCTACTCTCACACCAGACTCTCCTCTGGCACCACCATCTTGGTCACCCCTCCCTGCCGCACCTGCGTGGCATGCACTCTCATCTCCTTGTCTCTGGCCTCCCCAGGTCCCTGCCCCCGCTCCCGCGCTCGCTTGCACCGCCGTGCCTTCCCTGCGTCAAGGGGCGGCAGCGCGCCGCTCCTCACTCCTCCCCGTTTCCGCCGACCACTGCTCCTCTGCAGACTCTCCACATGGACGTGTGGGGCCCAGCCCGCGTCCGGGGACAGGACCAGGAGCGCTACTTTCTGCTGGTTGTTGGCGACTACACGCGCTACACCACGGTCTTCCCCTTGCGAAGCAAGGCGGATGTCCGCGGTGTTTTGATCGACTGGATCATCGCTGTTCGTCGCCAGCTGAGCGCGCGGTTTCAGCAGGACCTCCCGGTCCTGCGACTGCACTCTGGCAGAGGCGGTGAGTTTTCCTCCGGCCTCCTTCGGGACTTTTGTCGTGCGGAGGGCATCGCCCAGTCGTTCACGCTTCCGGCCTCTCCACACCAGAATGGGATTGCTGAGCGTCGCATTGGCTTGATCATGGAGGTTGCTCGCACCTCCATGATCCATGCGGCTGCTCCCCATTTTTTGTGGCCGTTTGCGGTCCGATACGCCGTGCATCAGCTCAACATTTGGCCCCGTGTCTCTATGCCAGAGACCTCGCCTACACTGCGTTGGACGGGGGAGGTTGGCGATGCGTTGGCGTTTTGGGTCTGGGGCGCGCTCTCCCTTGTCCGCGATACCACCGCGAGCAAGCTCTCTGCTCGCACTCTCCGCTGCGTCTTCCTTGGCTTCCCTACCGACTCCCCGCCCTGGCAGTTTTACCACCCTGCCTCGCGCCGCGTCCTGTCCTCACAGGACGTCACCTTTGACGAGTCGGTCTACTTCTACCGTCTCCACCCGCGCGTGTCCTCCCCACTCTTCCTGTCGCCCCTCTTCTTGGTCCCAGGTCCCTCCCCGGTAGACCCCCTCCCCCCACAGGGTCCTGCTCCCTCAGGTGTGTCTCAAGTCGACCCACCCCCCTTGGTTGAGCCGTTGGAGGTCTCCTCCGAGCTGAGGGGGTTGACCCCGCTGCTGACGACACGGCGGCCACTCACCACTCCCCGCGCTTGGAGACCCCTCTTGGCTTTCCGCCTCGGCCGTCTTCGCCGCCTCCGCAGCCTGTCGCTGTGGAGTCTAGTGCTGCTGGGGGTGGGGACCCTGAGGGTGCGGACTCTGGGGGTACTGGTTCTGGGGGTGAGGGTTCTAGGGGTGCTGGGACTAGGGGTGAGGGTTCTGGGGGTGCTGACTCTGGGGGTGCTCCGAGTCCTTGTGGTGGTGGGGCCGTGGGTGCTCCTGCTGCAGGTCCTGGCGTTGGATAGCAGCAGCCGCCTAATCGACTCGAGACGCCGTCACCGCAGCAGCTTCGTGAGTGGGTCGTTCGGCGAGGTCGCTCTGGTGCTGGAGCTTGGAGTTTTACAGGTCCTCGAGCTGCTAGTACTGGAGGTGCTAAGGGTGCTGGAGCTGCTGACACTGGAGGTGTTGGTGCTGCTGGTGCTGGAGTTGCTCGTACTAGAGGGGCTGGAGCTGCCGGAGCTGGAGGTGCTGGTGCTGCTGGAGCTGGAGGTACTGGAGGTGCTGGAGGTGCTGGAGCTGCTAGTGCTGGAGGTGCTGTTGGCACTGGAGGTGCTGGAGCTGGAGGTACTGGAGGTGCTGGAGGTGCTGGAGCTGCTGGCACTGGAGGTGTTGGTGCTGCTGGTGCTGGACGTGCTCGTGCTAGAGGTGCTGGAGCTGCCGGAGCTGGAGGTACTGGAGGTGCTGGAGGTGCTGGAGCTGCTGGCACTGGAGGTGCTGGTGCTGCTGGTGCAAGAGGTGCTGGAGGTGCTGCTGGTGCTGGAGGCGCTGGAGCTGGAGGTACTGGAGGTGCTGGAGCTGCTGGTCCTGGAGGTGCTCGTACTAGAGGTGCTGGAGCTGCCGGAGCTGGAGCTGCTGGTGCTGGAGGCGCTGGAGCTGGAGGTACTGGAGGTGCTGGAGCTGCTGGCACTGGAGGTGCTAGTGCTGGAGGTACTGGAGCTGCTGACGGTACGGGTACTACACCGCGCCGACCGTTTTTCTACCCGCAGCCACAGTCGTCCCTGCCACCGCCTGACTCGGCCCTTCGCCAGGTTCTTAGTCTCCCGTCTTCCACTGGCCTCACTCCACCTCTCTTGTGTCCACCGTCTGCCCCGTCTCAGACACAGTTGCCGTCTGGCTCCCCACTGCCTGCTCCTTCTCCCTACACTGAGCTGTCAGACTCCCTGACTGAGCGTCGTGAGCCTGAGTCTCGTGCCTCCACACCTGTTCGTGCTCGTCGTGTCGCCCGTCCTCATCCTCCTGCTGTCCCATGCTCTCACGTTATGGCACTTGGTCCTTCTACTGTTCCACAGCGTGTTGCCCTGCCGTCTCCTCCGGCGTCCTCTCTTCCTGATGTTCCTGACCCTGAGTCCGACCTTGCTCGTGCTGCCAGTCCTACTGTCAGTCGTCTCCTCGCTACTGTCGTCACTGACCCTGACTTTGAGTCTACTGCTGCGTTTGCCCTAGTCACTGAGCTAGTCGACTTTGCTGCTAGGAGTCGTCTCGACTACGTCGCGAGTCTTGTTACTGAGTCTGAGTCTGTCTGTCCTCCGACCGTCGGGGGTGAGCCTGCCCTTGGCTGTGATGTCCTTGAGGTTAGGCAGTTTGAGCTTGAGTGTCTTGCGGCCGTTTTACCTCGTTCGCATCCATGCTGCTTTGCCCTGAGGGAGACCCGGATGCACTTGACATTCCTACCCCGCGCTCTTACGCTGAGGCGATCGTGGGTGAGTACTCCTCTCAGTGGCAGACAGCCATGGACGCAGAGGTGGCTTCCTGGAAGTCCACAAGCACCTACGTCGACGAGATTCCTCCTCCTGGGGCGAACATAGTCGATGGCATGTGGATTTTCAGGGTGAAGCGGCCGCCGGGTTCTCCGCCTGCTTTCAAGGCGCGTTACGTTGCTCGAGGCTTTGGTCAGCAACAGGGGGTCGACTTCTTCCAGACCTTCTCCCCCACCCTGAAGATAACTACTCTTCGGGTGTTGATGCACGTTGCAGCAGAGCGTGACTACGAGCTGCACTCCCTCGACTTCTCCACAGCTTTCTTGCAGGGCAGCCTTCACGAGGAGATCTGGCTGCGCCGCCCACCTGGATTCACTGGGTCGTTTCTTGCGGGTACCCAGTGGAGCTTCCGGCGGCCGGTCTACGGTTTCTGCCATGCGCCCCACGAGTGGCACGACACACTGAGGACGACGCTTGCGGCTCTTGGGTTTGCTCCTTCCTCTGCTGACCCGTCGCTGTTTCTACGCACCGACACTTCTCTGCCGCCGTTCTACGTTCTTGTGTACGTCGACGACTTGGTTTTTGCTACTGCTGACACTGGGGCATTGGCCCTAGTGAAGGCGGAGCTGCAGGAGAGACACACCTGCACTGACATGGGTGAGCTGCGGAGCTATCTTGGCTTGCAGATCACCCGGGACAGAGCACGGCGCATCATCGCCCTGACTCAGTCACACATGGTGCACCAGATCCTTCAGCGCTTCGGCTTCACGTTCTCCTCGCCATAGCCCACTCCTCTGCCTACAGGCCACTCGCTCTCAGCTCCACCTTCGGACAAGTCCGACTTGGGGGAGCGGCCTCGTTCTCCTCTAGTTATGTACTTCGACAATAAGGCCATGCTTGCCTTGTGTCATGAGCAGAGACTGGAGCACAGAACGAAGCACATTGCTCTTCGCTACTTTCCTGGTCGAGAGCTGCAGCAGCGTGGTCAGCTTCGCCTTTCCTACGTGGCCTCTCGGGCCAACACTGCTGATGTCTTCACCAAGGCCCTTGGGTCTGGTGGTCATCAGCGTTTTTGCACTGCTCTCGGGCTTCTGCCCACTCTGCCTCACCTGCTTGTCTCTTGATCTTGCACTTGTTGTACACTGATATCTATATTTATACCTGCATGTTTACTCTTGCTAGGTTGTGATCAGTGTACTGCCTTGCTATTCTAACTCTGCATGTGAACTGGCCTTGTGGCCGCTTGCTTGTGCTGAAAATGCGTGGTGACCTTGAGATCCACCCTAGGCTTTGCATTGCTTTGTTCTCTTGCCTGACTGGTCTTGTGACCGTTTGTTGTGTTGGCTATCCCTCACTTTGCCTAGGGGGGTGTGTCAAAACATATTTATATGTTGTTAGTTCTGCTAGGCTACAGTGAGGTGCTCAGTATAGAGTACAACCCTAGTTAGGGTTTACTACTTGTATCTCACTCTTGCATAGTTCATTCATTCTTGCACAGTTCTCTCGACACATGACCCTGTCTGGTCCCCCTTGCTCCCTCGCGCCACGCTCCTTCCCACTAGCCTCCCCTCTTCTTGTCCTCCCAGCCCAAGCGTCTGAGCAGGGCCTCATGGTCCATGCTGGTGCCATCAGGCAGGTCCAGCGACCACAGGCGTGTCAGTGGCGTCAGCTGCTGCAGCCCATAGACCCCCACAGCCCTATGCGACAGCCTCAGCATCACCAGTTCCGTGAGGTGCCCCACATGCACCATGCCATCGTCTGTCACCCCAGAGGGCAGTATGAGCGACAGGAGGTTGGTGAGCGAGGTGAGGTGCTGCAGGCCTTGGTTTGTCACGCGGGTGTTGCGCAGAAAGAGCCCCTGCAGGCTGGTGAGGCGCCCCACATGCAGCATGCCAGTAGAGGTGACGTCCTGGCAGCCACACAGCGACAGCCTCCGCAGCGATGGCAGCGCGGCTAACTGCTGCAGGCCGGCATCTGTAACCCCGGGAGGCGCGGTGAGCGTGCCGAGGCGCGGCAGGCAGGTGAGCAGCGGCAGCACTTCGTCTCCCATGCCACACCCGCCCAGGGATAGTTCTTCTAGTCCAGTCAGCCGGCCCACATGGGCCAAGAGAGCCGGGGTGAGGTTGTGGCAGTTGCCCAGGGAGAGGTCTGTGAGTGAGGTGAGCGCAGCCAGGGGTTCCAGATCAGAGTCGGCCACACTAGTATGGTCCAGTATGAGCGTGTCAAGACCGCTGGCTGCGCCAATGCCCTCCAGAGATACTGCCTCGTCGCCTTCCCCACCCACTGGTGTGCCGTAGAGGATGAGGCAGGTGAGGCTGGGCAGGGCGTAGAGGTGCTGCAGGCCCTGTGTTGTGAATCCGGAGGAGCGGGAGAGGTCGACGGTGGAGAGGCGGGTCATGGCGGCCACGTGTGCCAGCACTGCGTCTGTCATGGATGCCTCCTCGCACAGCTTTAGCTCCGTCTCCTGCGATGCTTCCAGGATCTTCTGCGGAGGGAGATGTGCGGAGAGGGAGTGTGAGCAGCGGCAGTGCAAGATTTGAACGTAAGTGAAGAAGGAGCATGCCACAGGCTATGCGTGTGCTAGAGAGGAAATGCATGGCCATGCACACTCGATTAGCGCAAAGCCAGGACGAAATGACAGAAGCAGCCAGCATCGCCACTCACGTGCCACATGTCCCGGCTCTCGTCCTCGTCGCTGCCAATCACTCCCTTCACTGCCGCAAGCTCTCTCTTCATCTCCGCCACCTCGCCCGTCAGCCGTTGCACGTCCCTCGTCCGCATTCCCGCCAGCTCCCACAGCCCGAATACTTGTTGCCGCAGCGCTGCCACCTCGTCCGCCAGGCTCTGCTTCGCTGCTGCCGCCTCCCGCACGGACGCCACTTCCCACTGCAGCGCTGCCACTTGGTTCGCCACACTCTGCTTCTCTGCCTCCACCTCCCGCATCGCCGCTACTTCAAGCTTCAGCGCTGCCAGCTCGCTCCTCATTGCCTGCAGCGCCCTCATCGCTGCCTCGCCTGCCGCGCACGCCTCCTCGCGCGTACCAGCCATGCGCCTCTCGCCGCTTCTAGGCCCCGATGGGTGTTGGTACACACGTGAAGACCCGCAAGAAGTGCTAGAGGTGTTGGCACTGCTTAAAGCGGGGGGGTACACATTCAACTTGGCTTTTAGGCGAAAAACTGCATCTGCTGGTGCCAAAAGAACCCAGACAACCTCTCGACACCAACGGCCTATTGGAATGGAAAATTGTGCACTCTTAACCCTTTTTGCAAGTGACAAACTAATGCCTCCCTAGCTCGATTATGTTCCCACGCTTTCAGGGCGAGATGAGAGAGAAGAGTGATGGGGAGGACAAAGGGCGAGGGGGACAGCAGGATAGCGTTACGCGTTGCGAGAGGAGGTGAAGAGGGGAAGAAAGAGGACTTTTGAGGCGCCTCAAAAGACGAGGTGAAGAGGGTACGGAAAAAGCATTGGTGGGACCAGCCGTTCACAGCAAACACAGATGACACGGCAAAGCGCTTTCAATTGAGGACGAGTAACATCAGAAAAATGGGAACGCAACATTGGGTGGTAAACGCCGAACTGCGTGGGATGTATGACGTGCCAACCGTGGTTTCTTCCCACCCCAATAAACGACCAGGGGTATTGCTGTCAGAACATTATATAGCTTATGCTGTTGTGTAGGCTATAGTGGGGTATCCCATAGGGGGTACAACCCAATTAGGGTTTCCTATATGTACTCACTTCATTCATAGTTCAACCATCCTTGTTCTTCATTTTCACATGGAATCAGAGCAGGTCCCCTCCTAGGGACTGCTTCTAGGGCTCACCGAAGCGCGCCCCGAGGCGCGTTTTCCTTTTTTTTTAGCGACCCTCCGTGTCGCCCCTCGCGGCCCCGCCGCCCTCCCTACGCGGCCCCGCCGCCCTACTAACGCGGCCCCGCCGCCCTTCCTTCGCGGCCCCGCCGCCCTGCTCGCGCGGCCCAGCCGCCCTCTGCTTCGCGGCCCCGCCGCCCTGCTCACGCGGCTCCGCCGCCCTCTGCTAAGCGGCCCCGCCGCCCTACTACAGCGGCCCCGCCGCCCTCACGTCGCGGCCCGCCCGCCCTCTGCTTCGCGGCCCCGCCGCCCTGCTCACGCGGCCCCGCCGCCCTGCTCACGCGGCCCCGCCGCCCTCTGCTAAGCGGCCCCGCCGCCCCACTACAGCGGCCCCGCCGCCCTCACGTCGCGGCCCGCCCGCCACCCTACCTGCGGCCCGCCCGCCGCCCTACCTGCGGCCCGCCTGCCGCCCTACCTGCGGCCCGCCCGCCGCCCTACTTGCGGCCCTACCGCCGCCCTACCTGCGGCCCGCCCGCCGCCCTACTTGCGGCCCTACCGCCGCCCTACCTGAGGCCCGCCCGCCGCCCTACTTGCGGCCCTACCGCCGCCCTGCCTGCGGCCCGCCCGCCGCCCTACCTACGGCCCGCCCGCCGCCCTACCTGCGGCCCTACCGCCGCCCTACCTGCGGGAGCCGCCTAGCAGCGGCACCGCCGGGAGCCGAGCCGCCCTGCCGCCGAGCCGCCCGGGAGCCGAGCCGCACTGCCGCCGAGCCGCCCGGGAGCCGAGCCGCCCGGGAGCCGAGCCGCACTGCCGCCGAGCCGCCCAACAGCCGAGCCGCCCAGCAGCCGCGCCGCCCTGCCGCCGAGCCGCTGAGCAGCCGAGCCGCCCGACCTGCCCTGTCCGGTGAGCACAGCCCCACTGTGACTGCGTGCCCTTCCCCTACTGCTTGCACTGCTCGTCTGTCGTCGTCATGGCTACCCCTAGTGTCCTCGCTTTTGACGCTGAGGGTCGAGCCATTGACTTTGAGGTCTGGGTCGACGACCTGCAGCTGTTCTTACAGTGCGATAGGGCGGACGGTCTTTCCCTCTTTGACCTCACCTCTGGCGCCTCTCCTGCCCCTGCTACTGATGCTGACCCCACTGTTCGCTCTGAGTGGGCCACCCGCGATGCTGCTGCACGTCTTGCTGTGCGTCGCCACCTGCCTACCACTGAGCGCGCGCACTTTAGTCAGTACAAGAGTGCTCAGACCTTGTACGACGCTGTAGTTGCGCGCTACTCTTCCCCTGCCACTGCTGCCCTGAGTCGCCTCATGCTACCGTACCTCTTTCCTGACCTTACTGCCTTTCCCACTGTCGCTGACCTCATTACGCACCTCCGCACTAGTGACACTCGCTACCGCGCCGCCCTTCCTGCTGAGTTCTGCGCCAAGAACCCCCCCCCCATGTACATCACTCTCTATTACATAGTCACACGCCTCCCTGACTCCCTTCGCGTAGTCAGGGACCACTACCTCTCGGTCTGTCCCACCACTCTCACTGTCGACCTCCTCGAGAAGTCCCTCCTGGCGGCGGAGAAGAGCATCGTCGCTGTAGGAGCCTCTCGTGGTGACCCTCGCACCCCCATCTTTGAGGGGTGTTCTCCTTCCCCCCTGCTGCCCTCTGTTGCCTCTGCTGCTGCTGCCGACCTGCTTGGTCTTGAGTGGGTCTGCGCGGCGTCTGCCCCTAGCGGGAGACGCCGCCCTGGCAGGGGCAAGGGGGGCAAGGGCGCGGGTGGAGCTGGCGGGGGCGGTGGAGGAGGCGGTGGAGGCGGAGGAGGGAGTGGGGGTGGCGGTGGGAGTGGTGGCGGGGGCGGTGGTGGCGGTGGCAGCAGCGGAGGAGGAGGCGGTGGTGGCAGCAGCGGTGGGAGCGGAGGCAGCGGTGGTGGTGGAGGTGGAGGCAGCGGTGGCGGAGGGGGTGGAGCTGGTCGGGGTGGTGCCCCGCAGCGTAGCGGCCCTGGTGGTGGCCAGCGTCAGCAGCAGCAGCAGCAGCAGCAGCAGCAGCAGCAGCAGCGTTCGCGGGACATCCCCCCGCCCCAGCAGCTCCGTGAGTGGTACACGCAGCGTCAGCGGGGTGGGGGTTTTGGTCCGTGCACCTACGTCCTTCGTTCCGGTGACCGAGCGGGTGAGCAGTGTGGGGGTGCGCACCCCACTCAGCGCTGCTTTGGCCGCCTGACGGACGCTTGGCGTCAGCAGTTCCCCGAGGCCAGTGAGATTCCCCGTTGGGGAGAGCTGTCTAGGGCTGGCGTAGCTGTCTTTGATCTTGACTTTGATGCTATCCTTGCTGCCATGTATGCTGTGACTATTAGTGAGGAGGGTGACTGTTACCAGTGTTTCCCGCCCGACCCGGGCATTGGTACTGCTGCGCCAGGTACTTCTGCGGCTGCTGCTCTAGGTGCCAGTGCGTCTGCACTCTCAGGTACTGGTGAGGCTGCGCTCTCAGGTACTGCGTCGGCTTCGGCCTCCCTCACCTTCACACTTGACTCAGGGGCTTCTCGCTCCTTCTTTCGAGACCGCACCACACTCACGCCGCTTGGCCGGCCGGTTGCAGTCTCCCTGGCTGACCCCTCTGGGGGTCCTGTCCTCTCTCACTTCTCCACTGTCCTCCCGTGTCCGGCTGCCCCCTCGGGCACCTTGTCTGGTCTGTACCTCCCCTCGTTCTCGACGAACTTGGTGAGTGGTGCTGACCTGCAGGATGCGGGGGTTCACCAGTTTACTCCTGCGAGTCAGCGGGTGACCCACTGCTCGGATGCCCGCACAGGCCGACACCTGGCCACGTTCTCGCGTCGGCCAGGGTCGAGTCTCTACACACTGACCACTGCGTCTCCTCCTGTCCCTGCGTCTGGCCAGGTAGCTGCGTCGGGTCAGGTGTTTGCTGCTGCGTCCAGGTCTGGTCCTGAGTCTGCCCCCTGCTCGTGTCGCCGCCTGTCTCACGAGACTCTCCTGTGGCACCACCGTCTTGGCCACCCCTCCTTGCTTCGTCTTCGGGGCATGGCTTCCCGTGTCCTTGTCTCTGGTCTTCCCCGGTCTCTCCCTCCCCTTCCTTCGGGACCCGGACCTTCTTGTGTCCCCTGTGTCGAGGGGCGGCTCCGGGCTGCCCCCCACTCCTCCCAGTTTCCCCCCACAGAGGCTCCTCTGCAGACGCTTCACATGGACGTGTGGGGCCCCGCCCGCGTCCGTGGGCAGGGTCACGAGCGCTACTTCCTGCTGGTGGTTGACGACTACTCGCGTTACACCACAGTCTTCCCCTTGCGCAGCAAGGGTGAGGTCACTGAGGTGTTGATCGACTGGATCCGCGCAGCTCGTCTCCAGCTCAGGAGGAGCTTCGGCTCGGACTTTCCTGTTCTGCGTCTGCACTCTGACCGAGGTGGAGAGTTCTCCTCTGGCCTTCTGCGAGCCTACTGTCGTGCACGAGGCATCCGCCAGACCTTTACGCTTCCGGACTCTCCACAGCAAAATGGGATTGCTGAGCGCCGCATTGGCATGGTCATGGACGTCGCTCGTACGTCCATGATGCATGCGGCTGCCCCCCATTTTCTGTGGCCGTTTGCGGTTCGGTACGCGGCGCATCAGATCAACCTTCACCCCAGGGTCTCCCGGCCGGAGACCTCCCCAGCTCTGCTGTGGACGGGGAAGGTCGGCGATGCGTCTGCGTTCCGTGTCTGGGGATCTCGGGCGTTTGTCCGCGACTTGTCTGCGGACAAGCTGTCCCCTCGTGCTGCTCCCTGTGTCTTCCTCGGCTTCCCCCCTGACGCTCCAGGGTGGCAGTTCTACCACCCCTCCTCTCGTCGTGTTCTGTCCTCCCAGGACGTCACGTTCGACGAGTCAGTCCCCTTCTACCGCCTCTTCCCCTACCGCACTCCTTCCCTCCCCCCGCCACCGCACTTCCTTGTGCCAGGTCCCCCCCCGGTAGACCCCCTACCCCCTCAGGGTCCTGCCCCTTCAGGTGTGTCCCAGGTAGACGCAGTCGAGCCGGTCGAGGTTGCTGGTGACTCTGGTCCTGCTGCGGGTGCTGAGCCTGGGGGTGCTGAGTCTGGGGGTGCTGAGCCTGGGGGTACTGCGACTGGGGGTGCTGAGCCTTGGGGTGCGGAGTCTGGGAGTGCTGAGCCTGGGGGTGCTGCGACGGGGGGTACTGAGCCTGGGGGTGCGGAGTCTGGGGGTGCTGAGCCGTGGGGTGCTGCTACTGGGGGTGCTGAGCCAGG